CCGTGGGCCAGGCAGGGCCCAGGGACCTGACCGACGAGACCCACATCCTCCCACAGCCCAGGAGGAGGCCCCACAACCCAAGGCCCCAGAAGGAGTGCTGGCCAAGGGCTGCCGAGTCAGGAGAGGATAGACAGTATTCCCACAAGGTCTGTGCTCCCCAAAGCCTGGCTATAGCCGCTGCTGCCCCAGCAAGTACCAGTGCCCAACATCACAGGGGTAGGCCCCTGACACCAGAGCCACACAGTCCAGCCCGCACCACCCAGCTGGATTCTCAGGTGGCAGATCTTACGGCAACTCAGTGGGAGGAAGGTGGGGTGAAGTGTCGCCACCTGGATTCAGGCATTTCCTTCCAATTTACAAAAATGATTCCAAGTGTCATTCTTATAATTCTAGCCCCAGTTCCTAAGACTCAAAAGCCAGCCAAATGAGGAAGACAATGAAGCCAGACATGAGAGGCACATTGCCCCCGAGGATCATGCCTAAGGAAAGCTAGGGCAATTGGGCACAAATGTGCTCCGAGCATCCCAGCAGCCAGAGCAAAAAGGGCAAAGTGAGGGCTCCATGGCGCCCCCTGTGGGATGGAGAGAGGCAGAAGAAGCTGAGTCCCACCAGCAACTGCCCACACTCTCACTGAAGGGACAGCGGGCAAGGTGTTGTCCTCATGTCCTCCCAACCCCCAATCCCCGAGCTTCTTCATGTGGGCAGTGTCTTTCCTCCCTGAACACTCAGCCCCAGCAATGGAGCCAGCACTGAGCTGGTGCTCAAAAAACAAATTAGACTTTCAACCCTGCTTTACACTAAAGGGTAGAAGTTCATTTTTCTGACCATGCTTCTCCATGGGACCAACATATCTAACTGGAAGAGAAAATGTGTGGTTTGGCAGGAAATGTCAGCCCTGGGGCCAAATCCTAGTGCTCACATCTCCTGGCTAAGCTGGACATGGTGGTCATTCCATTCTATCAGCCCTTCCATTCTACCTTACCCCAAGGCTCACAGTGCTCCAAGCCTTATTCTTACAATCCAATCAAGGGAACCCCACACCCTGGCTCCAGGGATTGATTCAGGTAACACAGCCCTAAGCCAGTTAATGCATGTTACTGACTGAATCAAATCTTGCATTCTGGATCAAACCTTACCTGAAACTCAGTTTATTTCTAGATCTTCCAGTTATATAAACCGTTTTTGAACCTTTTGTAGTTTAAGCCTGTTGGAGCCTGGCCATGGTTTTAACACAGAGTTCTAATAACACACGGGCAAGCCCCATCCCCTCTCTAGGTCTCCGTGTCCTCAACTGTCTGCCAACCCCACGGAAGTACAATGAGGATGAAATGTGGGTGTGATTGTGGAAGGCTTTGGAACTGAGAACCCCACACACCTGTGAAGAGGATGGCTCTTGGTCGGTCCCTGCAGCTCCCTTCCTGTGCACTGGGCCCTGGCCCCGCAGCCCCTGCCTCCAGCCCTTGGACAGCTGAAGCTCTGTTATCTCCCAGCCTTTGCCCGTGCCCTCCCCTCTGCCTGGAGCACCCTCCCCCAGCAGGCATGTGACTGCCTCCTCCCATTCTTCCAATCTCAGTATAAATGCCACCTCCTCCAAGAAACCCTTCCTGACCATCCTGTGTGAAATATGCTCTGTCCCTACTCATTTTCTTCCTAGCACTTATTGCCATGTTTTACTTTCTAATTTTAATCATGTCAGTGTCTTTATTAGGTTACTCATCTGGGGTCTTTGTGCCCTAGGTTAATGCCTCTGAAACTAGTGGTGGTGAAGGACGAGCGTTTTCATTTCCAGTCTGTCCCTAATACTTTAACAAACTATATTAAAAACACATTTCTAGAAAATGTTTTACTTAAATACTAAACAGAAGCCCCAAATTTTTGTCGTTACTCTCTGCAGTCATAAAATTACTCTGCCAACTTGTTTCAAGAGTTTTTAAATGGTGACTCCATCTCTGCCGTTTTGGGAGAGGTGCAAGCTCAGTCCCCACAGGGCAAGCCAAGCCGTCAGAGCAACGACCCCAGGAGGTAGTGATAAACCCCTGGCTTCCTTGCCCCTGGAGTGGGGCATGCGTCAGCTCTGGGGGGGGGGATCCCCAAAGGGCTTCCTTCCCTTCTCTGTCACTTCCCCGCTCCCCCACCTGTGTGTCACCTCGCAAATAAAGTGCACTCGAATCCATGTTTAGGGACCACTTCTGGGTGAACCTAAACAATTAATACACAACATAGGACGTACAATACCTAATGTTATTACTGCTGTAGCCCTACTGTGAGCCAAATGCATACACATTATAAAGTAACTGTTGTGCATCTCAATAAAATGGAAAAGACAAAGTCCATGGGTGGAAGGAGCCTGGAGTCCTGCGGGGATCTAAGGGAACCACTAGTGGGAGAGGAGGAAGCTGGAGACCCCTCTTGCAGAGCCCAGAAACCTCCTTCTCTTCCAGAGGTGAGCACTTCCTGTCACTGGTTCTCCAGCAAGCCAAGCAAGGCTCTGGAAAAACCATTTCTGCCCACGAGTGGGAAGCTATAAATAACTCCCGGATCAGAAGAAAGGGAAAAAGAACTCTGATTCCATCTGCACTGGAGTGAGAATGCACCCTCCCAGCGCGCCGGCCTCCCCTGCACACCTGGAGTCCAACCCCACGCCCCCAAGAAGAAACCTCAGCCTTTGGTCCCCAGGTTTGCGGAGGAAGCCGCCAGCCGGCCCACAGTAGACAGACCTGTCGCGGCGGAGGAGGCTGGCTCACCCGTGGTTGTTCCGGGCTCGCAAGAGGCATTGGGGGACATAGTAGGAGGCACCCCTTCTCCCCAGAGCCAACAGGGAGGGCGGCAGGGGAGCAGCCGTTCTGGGGACTGCGCCATGTGGCCTTCCTGCCTTAGCGGCCCTGTCCCTGCCATGTCCTCTCCCCCACCCACCCTGCACTCTCCACTCCTCATATCCCTTTTTGCCCTGCACCTACTGCCCTTCCCTCTGCCTCTCCAGCTCCCCAGACCCAAAAGCCCCTGTGTCTTGGAAAAAGGAAAACCCACTGAACTGGAAGTTGGGTATACAGACAGATCCCAGATGTTCCTTGGAGGAACCAGGACCTCGGTGTCCCGACCTGCGGGATGGGCGCGATACTCCCCACCACGGGGCTGGGGCTAGGATCCCAGAGTGCAGGCTCTGCGGGTGGACGCCAGGCCGCCGCCACCCCCATCCAGGGTCGGGTCCCTCGGCCAGCCTGCCCCGGTTGCCATGCGGATTTCACTCGTCGCTCACTGTCCGCTGGAGACCCATGTGGATCCCCGGCAGCACGGGTGAACAGGCCTGGCCCCGGGGTCAGCCCCTTGTCCCGCCCCCGCCGCCTGCCCGGGGGTGTCCAGCAAAGAGCCTGGGAGGGCGAAGCAGAGCAACTCTTTATTGGCCGCGTCGGGCGCGGGCTAGCCCAGCCTCGGGGCGCCGCCGGGGGTGGCGGCCTCGGG